TGTGGGTGACATGATCCTTTTGTGGTTTTGTTCCCACTGGGGAAGAGCCAGGAATGCATCCCCTTTCTGAAAAACAAACAACCCCAAAACCCAACTTCATTACTTTTATGTTGCCAAAACGATTTCTTCTCCAGCCATGTGCTGCAGCATATTTAGGATGACAGTTGCTTTGCCTGCCATTCAGACTTAATGATTCCTGGGGAGGACACAACACAGGCCCTCTTTGAAAGGTGAGATTTTTGGAAACAATTTATCATTTATTGATTTTAGTCTTTGTTTTTTCTTCAAGGGGCCTTGGTGAAAACTGATGAGCAAGAAGTGATAAATTTCTTATTGACAACAGAAATTATCCCCCTGTGCTTACGCATTATGGAGTCTGGCAGTGAACTCTCCAAAACGGTATCTAATCTTTTTGTCTTAATTAAGATTTGTTGTTTATCTCTGACTGACCAGGCAACCAGTAACCTGCAGAGTTGGCTCGTGTCCTGTTGCAAATGCTGGGGCAAAAATGCTGGGTGGAGTTTTTACCTCCTCAAAAACCAAACAAACCCAAACCACCAAACTAAGCTGGAGGTCCTGAGCTTTGTAGTTTTGCTGCTCTCAACACCCATTCCCTCCTTTGCAGCCCTGCAGAGTAACTTTCAGGGCTGAGCTGGATCAACTTTCCTTGGCCTGAGAGAACAAATGCTGTAGCTATGGTTGGGCAGCAGCTGTTAGTGGTGGTTATGGGAATGTTCACCACACTAGACTGATTTGTTGTCTCCTCTGATCAGAGGCCCCTTTCCCCCACGAGCTCAGGTTTGTGGTCAGACTGGTCTGATGACCCAGGTAGGCTGGCTACAGGTTTTAGTCTGTATGTGCGTCTCTGGTGAAGCCTGCTGACACGGATTGCTGAGGTTCTTCCAGAAAGTCACGTGTCTCATGATGAATCAGTAATGCTCAAGATGAAAACCGAAATCAGCTGTCTGTCTAGATAGGAGGGCCAAGGGACTGATCCTTCTCCTGCTGCTTGCTCTGTGACTAGAATATTATGGCCGTAACCCTGAGGCTGTCCTGAGCGGCCCGGCAATAGTTGCTGTCTTAAGCAACCTGCATCCAGTCATCTTGTACATGCTGCTTTGTGTCCATGTCTTTTCTTTAGCCAGAGATGCCAAGCATTGTGTAGTGTCCTGCATTTTCTTTCGGCTTTAAACTTCCACCGAGTAAAGCATTTGCTGCCTGCTGAAAGGCCTTTCAGCTCTGGGACTGCCTTGAAAAGAACACAGCACAAAGGCTGTCCCTTTTCAGGATAGATAAGTTGTTTATATGCTTTCTTTTCTGCTTTCTCCCCATTCTAGGTTGCTACCTTTATTCTTCAGAAAATCCTCCTGGATGACACAGGGCTGGCATATATCTGTCAGACTTACGAGCGGTTTTCCCATGTTGCCATGATACTGGTAAGACTGTTTGTTTCCTCTCTTTAAAAAAAAAAAAAAGAAAAAAATATGTTCTAGCAGCCAGCTTCTTCAGCAGCTACTTTATTGCTCTCTGGCTGGAGCACAGGCTGAGAGGGGCAAGTCATTCTTGGGCTTACTGCTTGCGACACTGTAGCTCTCTGCTCCTGCTTGTTTCCTTTGTGTATCTCTGGTTTGCACGTCAAGAGAACACATATTAGTTGTAATATACTAAGTCCCCAAGATAAACCACATAAACATCTCCCCTGAAAACTCATTTTCTTCTGTGTTGTTGGCTGGATGTGAATTGATTTTAATTTTATATAAGAATGATCACGTGCCTCAGACCATGGATCCATTTCCCATCCGTGTCTCCCACAACAGGTCGAAAAAGCAGCAGGCTGAGCGAAGGAGTAAGCACAGGGCAAGCATATATGATACTTGCCCTCCTAACAGTCTCGCAGCTGCCAGCTATTTTCAGCTTTGGATTTCTGGGGCCACTTGTGGGTTTTCAATGCAGTAACCCCCAGTGTTTGTCCTATCCTCCCTTTGAACCCGTGGAAACTTTTTGCATCCACAGTGTCCTTTACCAAGGAGTTTCACGGGTTTACTGTTTGCTGGTTGGAAGGCCAACCTCCTTTTTTTTTCCTCTTTGAACCTGGCTCCTACTAGCTGCTGCTTATGACTCTAATTCTTGTGTTGGAACACAGAGAGAGCAGACCATTTTTGTCCATTCCCTGTCCCCTGTGAAGACGAAGTTTGAGCACTCACAATTTGTTCATCCCAGGAGTAATAGTCCCAACTTGAGCTTTATTATCTTTGAGCTCACCAAAGGGAATACATGTCTGCCCTGGAATAGCTATTGTCCTGCTTTTGTGTTTGGTGGTTGCTTGTTTGCTTTTTAAAGAGCAGTCTCAGGAGAAGAAAATGCAGCATTAAGTTAAGCTCTTTGCAATGCTGGTTCTGTGCCTAAATGTTGATGTTTTCATTGGGAATAGTTATTTGTCTGTCTGTTTTCCCAAATGTAAAGAAAACGTTACCTCCTAATTCATTCACAGGCAGCAAAATATGAACATTTGTGAGCTGATGTCCATAATATCCAATGTGACATGATTTTTGCATTCAAGAAAAGGATCGACTTTGATGAAAGTACATCTGGTTTGGGGGCAAAGTGAAGGATGCAATTAGAAACCCTGGGGTAGGGTAGGGGAGAGAAGGAGACCAAGGAAGAATCTGTGGCTGGGAAGGGTACGAACACGGAAAGATGTGGGCCTGTAAAGCTGTGTTAGCTCAGGAGAAATCCTAGCTGTGGTATAATCCCACCAGTGGGTGAAGCACTGACATGATTAATATTCCATAGCGCTACAGAGAAAGATGAAAATGTTCATAGACACTTCTGTTCTCTATTTCAAAAATCGGGATAGTGTACTCCTGTTTCATGAAGGTGGTGATTTACTTCCTTGTCTGCTGATGATAACGGAGTAGGATCTTATGCAAGTGTTAGATGCTTTTAAAAGAGCAAGTTAGTAATTCCCATCTAGGAGCTGTCTGAGGAGCTCTCTGGCTTGTGTCTTTATTTCGAAGAAATACTGGTATCCTGGGGAATTGCTGAGAACAGGAAGCTTGCAAAAGGGCAAATGAGGCAGCCCTGCTAATTGCTAACTGCCTGAATATCCAAATACAGGTTAATTTGGCTAATGAAGAAATTGAGTAGAGCTAGTCAATGTAGTTTTACAGCGGAAAAAAAACAACTTGTTGGGCAGATCTGATTGACTCCTAAACATGAGGAAGCAGACTGTTGAAGTCCTTCAAAGCAGGCATGTGAAGGCATCCACACTGTTAGCTATGCTGGGTGCATGCAAAGGTGCAACCATGTGCGAAGTCTTACATAGTGTGAGAAATGGAGGCCGGGCCAGGGAGATCTGCCCTGGTCTTGCTTCCCAGTAATGGCTTAATGAGGGATGTAGCAGAAGAAGAAAATACAACTCTTGGGTGTGTGATAAGACCAGATGTGGATCTTCCTGTACATGATGTGGGTGAGTCCAGTCCTTCAGCATGGCTTCCAAAGCTATAGTTAACATTTTAAAAGGGCATTGAAATGAAGGCAGCGCAGATGAGAACAGGGAGTGTTGCAGAGCTCGGGAACACACCTCACGGGGTGACTCAGCCTGAGCTTATCAAAGCGTTTGGGATATGTTCGCCTTCCTCTACAAGGAGGAAACCCCAGGTTCTCTTTAATCTAGCAGAGAGTTGGACCACTAAGCAGTCCTAGGGAGGTAAGAACCAAACAGAGGTGAGAAAAGCTTTCTCCAAGCTGCTGGGAGAATCCTTTCCAAGCTGTGGCTAGCTGCTCTTCTCAAAGGCATCTTGGCAAGCAGAGCACCAGGCTCCAGGCAGGGGTATCTAGATAAAAGATAATCAGCTGTGATGCGTGGGAAGCCAGAGTGAGTGATTTAATGGTCTTTCCCAGTCTCTGTTTGATTGTGAAGCTGTTCTTAAAAAGACTTTAACTGGTGGCACTGGCCTCTGTCAAACAGGGTAAAATGGTCCTGCAGCTCTCCAAGGAGCCATCGGCACGACTGCTGAAACATGTCGTCCGCTGCTACCTTCGCCTTTCTGATAACCCCAGGTAAACATTTTAGGAGTTTGGGCAGGGGTTTCTCCTGCTCCCTTGAAGTGCAGTTCTTCTCCACAGTGCCCACTTGGGGAGGGTCAAGGTTTCTTGTCTGTCCTTCCATCAGCCTGCACTCAGTGTGGAAAACGGGTGGGTTTTTTGGTTTGGTGTTTTTTTTTATTGCTAGTCCCAGGAGCTTTTGTGGTACATGGGAGAAACAGTGACGTTTTGGGGTTTGTGCAGATTCAAGCTGTTCAGGTTACGACTGCCTGAGCTCAAATGTAGCCTGGAATAGGTATGAGGGAGGGACGGACTGAGGTGTGGAAGGTACGCTGTGCTTTCTCCTCTTCTGCATTATGTGGGCTGCTGGCAGTGAAAGCCAATAGATGAAATTCAGCTTGAAATCAGTTTGTATTCCCTCAGCTGGTCAGCAGCTCTGCCCAGAGTCGCTGGGTATGTATTTGTTGTCTCAGCCTCTCCTGGTGTTGCGTTGCTCCTGACTGATGGGTGTCAGGGCGCAGAGGTTGGCTCGGTGGGGTCCAGCGTAAGGGATGGGAGCCATGCGGGCTGGCCGAGTGCCACGTGCTGCGGTGTTGCTGTTCAGTGCTTTCCTTGGCTGGCCCTGTCAGGGAGACCCCCAGGCAAAGGAGCATTGTGTCCCCATGGGGTTTGCTCCCCTCTTGCCGCTGTGAGTTTATTTGTTGGGCCCCATTTCTTGTCTCTTGATGTAGGGCACGTGAAGCTCTCAGGCAGTGCCTTCCTGACCAACTGAAGGACACCACCTTCGCCCAGGTCCTGAAGGATGACACCACCACAAAGCGCTGGCTGGCTCAGCTTGTCAAGAACCTGCAAGAGGGTCAAGTCACTGACCCGCGGGGCATCCCTCTTCCTCCGCAATGACTGCTGGGGGAGGTAGGGGACCGGGGAAGAAACAGCTCAGGTTTACAAAGAACCAGGAACAGGTGACCTCTTCCGTAACAAACTGGGCACGCCAGCTGGCTGCCGGCCTGTCGGACCATCCCGCCCAGTCAAAGGGCTGCTCTGTAGCAATGCAGCATGCCTCTGGGGATCGCAACACCAGCAAATGCTGATACTACAGCTTCAAAAAAAAAAAAAAAAATCAATAAAAACAATCTGTAAAGATCCCTGTCTCTCCAGGAGGCTTGGCTGGCATCTCTGCCCTCACTGCCAGGCAGGAGGGAGTGCAGATATCTGCACTTCCAGCTAGCTCAGCCTCCACCCAAGCGGTGCGTGACACAGGGTGTGCGTACCACGTCCCTCCAGTTCCTTGTCACTTCTTGTTTACATGTCTGTTTAGATGAGTGAGCTGAATAAAATCCGATCCAGTTGTTTTATCCCCTCTTAAGAGTGCTACTCGGCTGCAGGTAGCCCGGGGACAGCTTTCTTCCCTGCCAGCACATCCTTGCTCCTGGCTCTGCATCTGGCTGGCGCAGCAAGCTTCTCTCTTCCTTTCCTTTGGCGCGGAGGCAGCGGTTGGAGCCGGGCCACTGCGGTGCTCGTCCCAAGAGGAGGGGTGGATTACTTGAGATGAACCCACGCGTCATAAGCTTGCTTCCCAGAGCTCTGGGGGAGAAGACAGCAGGACTGTGGCTCTTGTGCTGTAAATAGTGCACTCTCGCAGCTGACCGGCGGCCAGGGGCTGATGTGTGCTGGTCTGCCATATAGCCCAGCTCTTGCCTGGTGTGGCTGCTGGCTGGCTCCTCAAACAGAGCTCAGCACTGGGGAACCTGCCTTGCGGTGGTCAGCAGGCTACCCACCGATGATCCCCTGCCG